TTTTTGATTAACATATAGATCAGTTTGAATCTGAGAGGCACTGAAACTGAAATTATTTTCATCAAATTCTCGCTTTTTTGACATCTAGAATCAAAAGGAAGAAACCCATGACGAAGGACGTGCCCTCAGAATTAGTCAGGGACATACTGTCCCTATTACCAGTTAAGAGTCTCGTGCGATTCAAGAGCATACCAAAGGCATGGAAATCAGAAGTTGAAGACCCAATTTTTGTTAAATCTCATCTCCTCCGCCAATCTACAAGACCTGATTCCACTCACAAAATACTTTTTCTTCAGAAATCTAGAGGCAATAAGCTTTTCTTAGCAGACAATGTGGACTTACTTGATCATGCTGTAGAAATAAAACCCAATTTTAATGGTAAGATGAAGGATTTCGATGACCTGATTCTGGTTGGTTCATGCAATGGCTTGGCCTGTTTCGTGGATACTCGTGAATCTTGTATAATTCTTTGGAACATCTCAGTCGATGATTACAAATACATCCTCCTTCCCAAAAACAAGAAGTTAGCTTTGAATGGAGTTCAGTTTCATGTTTATGGTTTCGGATACGATTCGGTCAATGATGATTACAAGGTAGTGTCAGATTTATAGTGTGAGAAAGAATGCATGGAAGAAACTTCTAGTTTTTCCGAATTTATGCTTTCTTGGAACTTTCTGTAAGCCTCGGTCTTCTTTAATAGCCTACTGGAATATTTGTTTCTGGCACTGTCCATTGGCTGGGGTTTAAGCATGGTAAGATGACTTTGATAGATGCAGTTGATCTTGCTAGAGAAAGGTCTGTGGTGTGGAGGTGCCTTTGCCTGACTGTTTGGTGGACATGCTCGTGTCCAAAATGAACATTGGAGAGCTTCAAGGGTGTCTTAATGTGACAACCTTAACAACAGTGTGTGGAGTAGATTTATGGGTTATGAAAGATTACATGGTGAAAGAGTCTTAGATGAAACTGTTTTCCATTCATGAAGAATATTTTTGTAACCCTGTGGGGGTTATTGGTTGTTCAAGGACTGGAAAAAAGTTTCTGTTGCATAAAAAGGGCATGCACCATCCTCGTTGGTTTGACATGGAAAAGGGAGAATTGCAACGGGAGGATGGGACTATTGATATGAAAGAAAATTGCATGCAGTCTTATATGGAGACTTGTTTCAGTAAGCTCTTACGCACCAGCTGATGATATATAGGACTAAAGGGATATCTCAAGTGATTAAGAGTTTAAAACTCTAAATTAAAAATATCGAATTCAAATCTTGAAATCGATAGAGGAGGGAAGAGCTATTCTCTATTGTAAAGTCCATCATTTGATATACCAGAAAAAAGCTGATGATCTATATAGGCAGTAGTCACAGGGGAAGAAGTCATATATACAGATGTCTATTGGTGCTTTCTTGTTATTCACCTCTTAGTTGAATAATTCTTTCTTTTAAATGCGCAGAGAAGTGCTTTCATGTTATTTTATCAGTTCCTTTTCTCTTTTTTCAGCAATTGCTACTTGCAACTCTTTTGGATTCTTTAAGGATGAGCTCCAAGAGCCTTTCATACATTGTGATTGCAGATTCAAGCATGTCCCATGGGTCTGCTCCTGTCCTTCTCGGCCACCCTCGAGACATCTTCTAACCTTACAATCTCCTTCTGTGATCTGCTCAACTCTTCTACGGAAAATATTATCATCGCTTTTTCCCAACTTCACGTCATTAATCCCTTTAGTTTCCAGACCAGTATTAGCCCCCAAATCACTAATGCTTCCCATATCAATGTTGGCCAGATCAAGAATTGCCTGCTCTGTTTCTGTTTTCCAAATACAAACACTTACATCTTCTGCAGCAGATACTAGGTTCTTCCCTTCATTCACCATCACCTGACCCCCTACCGTGCTGTCATGTTTTTAAGGCCATCTGATCAATTCAGTTGCTTGGTTCTGGTTCATATCATTGCTGCCTCGAATATCTTTCAATGAAATTTTATTAATCGAGCCACCTGAGGCTGCAGCATATAGTTCTGTATGTGTTTGATGGTATGTCACGCCCATCCTTGCACAAGGATATGTTACCGTTCTGATCAGGTCTCCTCTATCTGATATTTTCCAAAACTTGCATGTGCAGTCCATTGACCATGATATTATGGTAGTGCTGCAGATTCCCACACAAGAAGCAATTGCTGTCACTGATCCATCATGCGCCATAAATCTCTAAACCATAAACTTGCTTGGGTCTTTCTCAGCTGATGCCTCATCAAGTTGGAAGATTGGAACGAAAGCAACGGTTCCATCTTCCCCACCTGAAATCAGAGGAGATCCGTCTTCATTGACTCTGAGGCAGGAGACAGGCTTATTGTCTCCATAATATGACCGGAGTAATTGCCCTGAAGGGACTGAGAAGGTGCAAATATTGCCAGAAAGATCCCCCACAAATAAGTACAAGACATCCAGACTGGTTACCATTGGAGCCACAGGTTCAAGGCTGTGGACGACCGCCAACGGTACAGGTGAATGGAACCTTAACCAGTGTCTGGAGATATATGAGATGCAGTACTGAATGAGTTTCCAGCCAGGGCTAGGCCATGGCGTGATGACCTGCTGGTGGAGAAGTAAGCTAGAATAATGGCAACAGAGCTAGCATCATAGGCTGCAACGGCACCATCAGGAGAGCTGGTAACCACAATTTGAGGTGGAGAAAACAAATTTTTCTGGTGGGAAAGAAGAATGCAGGAACCAGGAAGGAAGGAAATATTACTTTTTTGTGTTGAATTGTGTGGTGATGTTAAGTGAGGTAAGAAGAGTTCCTTGTCTTTCAGTCCCGATTATATTGTGCAATTTGGACACTGAAATTATTAGAGTGCCCTTAATGAACTAACATGAGAAAGGGAGGCATTAAGATACTCTACTAATTTCCAGATCCGGATTGCACTTTTTTTATGCAACCCGGACTTAAAACACATTTTCGATAAAGTTACATAAGTTGACTTCATTTTCACTCTTGAGTACCACATGTTTGACATCAGAAGAATGAAAACAGATAATATAAATGGTTAGCTGCAACTGGAAACTATCCAGGGGATCATGTTAACACTCTAAGATGAGCGCAGGATCCATTCGCAGATAACTACCCTGTGATTTGGGTGTCTCCTTCCATGAGGTTCATGGCTTTTCCAATGCTCACCCTGGTTTATACATCAACGAAGGCATGGAAGGAGATGTTATGTGACCCTTGGAGAACTTACATTAGCCAATTTTGGAGAACTAGTTGCATCAAGATAGCTAAAATACTGCCCATCGTTATGTTGATCACATTAACAGCATCGTTGTTGAGCTGCAAAACAGAACAGCGAAGATTTGAGTTATAATGTAGAGTGAAAGAGGTTTTCAAAAAGAAGAAAAAAGAAAGTAATGATTCTTCATTTTTTTTTTAATGAATATCAGTCCCACCTAACAAATTTGGAGTACAAAACTTCAAAACTACATCAATAAATGCCACACTAAAAATAACTACCATAACTTATTTTTGGATTACTAATTTTTTATGAAGTACTAACGACAACTATCTTAAAAAATATGAAAAATTTTAGGGATTTCAGAAACACTATAAATATTTTCCAATACAGAAGGTCTTTCTTCATTCCTCAATTTAGTTCTTCTTTGCCTTCGGTGTCGACTGGAAGAAGAGTTGCACCCCAACCCATGAAACGACTATCACAGTAGGCATGTATTATCATTTATATGAAGCCACTGAAACTGAAACTGTTCTGAAATATAATTAGGAATTTTTACTCTGTTTTTGGAGATCTAGAAACAAAGTCATGAGAGAGGATGTGCCCTTGGAATTAGATATGTACATATACCAGTTAAAAGTCTCATAAGATTTAAGGATATATCAAAGAAATGGGATTCAGAAATAAACAACCAAGTTTTTGTTAGATCTCATCTTCTCCATCAATCTTCTAGAAACAACAGCAGTCTCAGAGTGGCTTATTTCAAGAAACATTACGAGGGATTGGTACAAGCTTTACTTAGCAGACATTGTGCACTCACTTGCTCATGCCTCATGCTGTTGAAATAAAACCTGATTTTAATTTTTATGGTGTGACTCCGGGATGTTCATGCAATGGCTTGGTTTGTTTCACAGATCGTCTCAAATTTCATACAATTCTTTGAAACATCTCAACGAAAGATTGCCTTTGTATTGAAACCAACCCCACTCCCAAAACCCCAAGGATTTTAGTGTTAGTCGGTATGAACTATGAAGGATAAGTTTATGCCTTCATGGTTTTGGATACAATTTAATCAGTGATGATTACAAGCAGGTGAGAAGCTATTATTGTTTAGGCAAGCATTTTGAAGGCATGATTTATAGCATTAAAAATACTGCATAGAAAAAAAAATTATTTTCTCCTGAATTTCACTTTTCTGGGAAAGGGAAGGAAATTTAAATTTGTGTGTCCTGGAACTAAAAGAGACAAAGGAATATTTGTTTCTGGTGCTGTCCATTGGCAGATTGGCTGTGGTATTTTGATGATGATCAGAGTATGACAGCTGCTGTTGATCTTGTGACTGAAAAGTTCAGGAGGTGCCATTGCCTGACCGTTTAGTTAACATAGACTTGCCGAAAATGAACATTGGAGAGCTGCAAGGGTGTCTTAATGTAACAACAATGACATCTAAGTGGCTGAAACAATCCATGTGCCCATTTGTTGATTTCTGGGTTTTGAAAGAGTACATGGTGAAGGAGCCTTGGATGAAACTGTTTTTGGTTAAGAAAGGAGACTTTAATCCTGTTTTGTCTATTGCTTACTCAAGGACTGACAAAAAGGTTCTGTTGCAGGAAGTAAATTGGCTGCTTAGTTGGTGTGACATGGGAAGGAAAGAAAGGCAAGGACAGTTTAGAATTATTTATGAAACATGTACTTACTATATAAAAGAAAATTTTATACATCCTTATATAGAGACTCCTGTTTCAGCAACTGCTGGAGAGGAAGTAGCCATAGGGGTGGAAGAAATATAGATATAGTGGTGACCAACAAGATCTTAGCTGGATTTGTACTCACTAACTTTAAAACCTTGATTCTAATTTCTAGGGTTAAGGTTTGTGTTTGAATACTTGCAATACTAAGCACCAACTTCCTTTTAGGTATCTCTTGCTGTACTTATCTATTATCTTAAAGCATCAAAGGCAAGTTGAATATCAATTCCTATCAGAAAATTGAATGTCTAGGACCTTGAATAGGATCTATTCTATAGGCCCATACCTCTTTATCCTCGAATAATAAGAAAGTTGAACATAAAAATAAAATTTTTTAACAGTTTCTTACGACATCTATCTAACTGTAGAAGTTCATGAATATATGTATATGATGCATAGACAAGAGATTAAAATGAGTTACTTACCCATTGAAATCCTTCCTTCTCTTGGAGTGCAGCACCTATTATGCTTTCACCAAGATTAGCAATCTGGGAAGCTATCATGCATGCCACAGCCCCAAGTACATTTATCTATTTCAGAAAATAAATAGATTAATAAATAAAACTAATTAAAAGGAAAAAAAAAATGGAATTAGTGATTGAATGATATTCTTGAAACATCACTTATAAGGCCTATTACAAAAAACAGCAGGTTGTTCCATTACACGTCACCCACAGCACCATTAGTTTCCCAAAATTTACTGTATGATTTCTAACAAGAAAAAATTAGAAGGTAGCATAATACCTCACCCATCAGACAACCAACAGAGGCAAGAATTATAGATGCCAAAAGTCCAGCAACAGTTCCTTCAACACTCACAGCTCCCTCTGTTCCCCTTGGAACTACTTTGAAAGTTGTAACTAGGTACCTGATCATGATATCTGAGATGTTGTAAATTTACATTGGCAGCAGTGAAAGTTTATCAGAAAGAAGCAAAACAAATAGAAAAGGATAACTATAAATAAAGGAAAAGAAAGCAAGGCATCAAAGTAAGGCATTTGAATAATATTTGGATTTGGTAAGTCAGATTCAAGTTCAAGAAAACCTAAAACTATTTCAAAGACTAAGTGATATCTTAATAGGTTTCATACTTACAAATTAAAATGTCTAAGAAAAATGATTTAGCAGTCTCATTAAGAAAGAGAAGTTCAGAAGTCAAAACCCAGAAAAGTTCATCTAGTATCAACTAAAATGCCAGCAGTAAAAATGATGAGAATGCAACTAAATAAACAGAAAAAATGATAATTTTAAAACTCCTTTAATTCCAAATTTTATATTCCTTTCTGAGCCAACTAAAAAACAGTTACTAGTCAAACTGAGATGAGGTATCAATATTCAACAGACAGAGACACCTTACTTACATTGTATACATTACTTACGTTGTTTTTCCAAATGCCTTTCCTATCTCACTTGAGACAGTGTCACTCAACTTAGTACAAAAACTGGCAACAAACCCAAGCCGCCAAAGCTGAGAAAATGCCTTTCCTCCCACTCCATATATTGTGAGACAAGCACATATACAACCAGCAGCGCTAGAACCAATCACACTGCCTGGCCCACGTCTCCCTTTCCTCTTCTCAGCCACCCCTTGAGCCTCTTTTTCAGCCATTTTAACCTTCGTGGCAGCTGTGCCCTTATATAAACAGAATTTTAAAAAATGAGCAACTATGTTATAAAATTAAGGTGACTGGGTAACAATTTTCTCAAGATTGGTTAACCCCAATGGACAGAACTGGAGCCTGTCAATCAATTGGCAGTAGTGGAAACTGTGATACGTATTCAGTTACTGAGATTCCCCTCACAAAACGAATCTGTCTCATAGAACTAGATTCCAATACCATATGCTTGAAATAAAAATGTAAGCTTTGCAATACCATATGCTACCAAGAATAAAATACCATTTCAAAAGTCCATTGATCCCATCATTTATCACTCAAAAAATCCATCTTTGACAAAATTTTCTTCACCATTTTCAGTAACTCAGATTTTGCATCATGAAATGACACTTCACCATGGAATTCGTCCTCCAGATACCAAATTCCAACACCAAATGCTTATTTAAAAATGCAATCTTTGCAATGCAGAATGGGGGATTCCATAATCATTTACTCTAAAAGCCCAAGTCCCATAGTCAACAATATCTCACTTATGCATAGATATAGATGTACATTTAAGTTTATACTCACAAAAACGAAGTATGAAGCAACAAGAAGGAACCCAGACGGCCCAAAAGCGCGCCAAGTGAGAGTACCCAGCAAGAACGCAGCACAAAATCCGGACAGAGACAAGCCAGAGACCAGAATTGGGGATCCCACAACAAAAATAAGGAGGTTACTGAGCAACGCCGACTGCCACGACGGCGGAGTAGATTGGATCAGGCTAATGGCCTCCGATACCGCCCCCTGCACCGACACGGCATTGGTTCTCAGCAACGGTATTCTGGAATTGGGTTTTCTAGGTTTTGGATTCAGAAGAGGTGGGGGTCTTCTTCTGGGAACTGAAGGTGAACAGTGCGCCGGAGGAAATAGAAATGGAGTGGGTCTGTAGTGAAGAAGAGTTGAAAAAGCCATTTTTAATTTTTTATTCAGAACCAAAGTGTTTGTGCGAAGGAGTTAAAAGCGAAGAGAAGACGGGCTGAGTAATGACGATACCATTCGCCATTCGGGTGTGGAAAGTCATAATACCCGATTTGGTATTGTTGACTTTTTTCTTTTAATGAAAAATAGTGATTTGTATTGAAAAGTAAAA